CCTTCTGCTCCTCAGTGCACATAAGTGCTCGAAAGATCCTTTCCAACTCTTGGATCCAGTCATTTGCAGCATCGGGTGCAAAGCCTCCTTCGAACTTTGGGGGTTGACGACGACAGAAGTCATCCAAACCCCTATACTGAGCCGATCCTTGAGTTGATGGTTGTTGTTGTTGATTCAGTTGATGTAAGTTAGCATTCACATTCTGAATCGCTGCAGTCATTGCAGCCATGAAGTCCAAGTTAGCCGTTCCACGTCCAGCCATCTTAAATCTGAGAACATTAGACATGTATGAGATACTTCGTCTATCAAAATTGTTCATAGGTGGCATTCCCAACCGAACAATAAAAGCACATACTAAAACATACAAAGTCACACAAGAAAGCATGTGAGGCCATGCTCCAGGCCGGATAGAAAAGAACCGCTCTGATACCATGTTGTAACACCCCGAAAATTACTTCAATAATCTTGCTCGAAAATGGGTAATTTTTTTTTTTTTTTTTTTTTTTTGAATAAAGGAGCCATAAAAATTTATGTCCTTATCTTCGTTTCATTTTCGGAACATCACTTAAGTAACATACAATGCGGAAAATTACTTAATGGTAACTAGAAAAACTCAATATAACTTTGAATCATACTTCATTAGAAAATGTTGGTACAGGTACAAGGCGGAATCCTAATCGTCGCCCAATAAAAACTACTACAAAATAAATTCCCTACACAGGTACACTAATCAAAAGTACCAGGGCCTGTGTAGGTATAACAGATTCCCTCAATCCTCCATGCCCCCTCCTGGGACATCGAAAAGTGGTAACTCTGAATCCCGATCGAACGATCCATCTGAACAAACGCGGATAGAAGACAAAAAGAAAGAAGAGAGGGAGTAAAACATCTAATGAAAAACTTATCATTGACGTCGTGGAATTACACAGAATAATACACCAAGACAACACATGAGTACATATATATCATGCGATTATACAAGCACATAAAAACAATGAATGAAATATAAAACTCGAGGATTTAGAAACGATATCAAAGAATATCATGTATGCAATGCGATGCATGAGTCCACCATCCTTACTCCTTTATCCTCCCAATAACTATTCGGAAATAACCGAGAGTACAGGTCCCATAACAAGCCGATTTGAACGCACCAAAATATTCCTCGCAAGGATATATGATCGATCTGTTCCAAAGAACTGTCCATTTCAGGACGGTGTCGTATCAAACACTTTCTGGGCATCCCTCTCATCGATCCTGATTGCAAAGAGGGGTTGTCAGAGATCATCTAGTTTGCGCTGTGAGAACTGTCCGATCCAACAGAATACCTCATCCAGGAATACAAGGGACTCGTCTCACCTAGACTCACCCTCAAGACTTTGCTGACGAATCACCGCCATCGCCGTCCCTCTCAACATCTCGGGGCTCGTTCGTCTCCCGTAAATTTCCTCTCCACTACTTCATTATTCATAATGAGTATGCACACTAACCGAGGTTAGCCAATTAAATCTTTTAATCATTCTTTTAAATGATCGGCCCAACCTAAGACATCTCCCAAAGGAATGCTTCTAGTGGGTCCCGATCTTAACACATATAACAAAAAGAGAGAATAATTTCGGCACCACTACGAACCATCGCTGAATTATCCTGGACGGCTCCTCTAGCCAAGCCTCTTACGGTCAAATAATCTCGCTGCGTGGGCATAATATCACACCCTCGGCCTCGCCTTTAACAAAGCAATTCCTTACTTTTATTACTTTCAAGAATTTCATTTAGTTGTTTACCTTTACAAATTCTTGATGGCAAACATGCCATTGGGCTCTCGTATATATGAGAGTTATCATTCCGACGACTTAAAAAGAAGTCATGTTTGTATGGAGCCCGCTCGCTCAAGCGAGAGCTGTCTTGCTCAAGCGAGATGCTTCCATTTTTGAGGCATTTGTGGCTTAAGCAAGAGTTGTCTTGCTTAAGCGAGAAAACAATCAGTTCTCTTGGTGCCTATTTTAGCTCAAGCGAGAGCTGTCTCGCCTCGAGCTAAAACACTCGTTTTCTCTATACACTTCTCGCTCAATCGAGAGTTGTCTCGGTCAAGCGAGAAGAACCTAAATATCATTTTAATTACTTTTCTCAAGGAAAATATTTCTCATTTATATCAAATGTTTTTAAACCTTGAATTTCAAAATTATCACATACATATCATTCCCATAATAATCATTCAAACATTATAATTCAAGAGTAAACATGATATTTGCATATATAAACATAACATAAATCGGTATAAGAAATATTGCTGTACTTAATCCAAACAAACATGCAATTGATTAAGTACAAGCTTTCTTAATACCCAGGGCAACTCCAAACTTGTGAGGGAGTTTGGAGGTCCTGATGCATATTCGGACACCACTGTGTCACGATGTTTTCTCCCTCACCTGAGTGTGTCGGGTCGTTAGGTTCTCTGTTTGTAGGTGAGCTTACTTGATCCGTTCTCCTCTCGAAATCTTTATTATGCCAAAATAACGTTAATTAGTTAAATGACAATAATTATTATACTTATGAAATAACTTTTTACGCGAAGATAAAACTTCCGATTTAAAATGAATTTAATTGCTTTCGTCCATCCAATTCAAGGTTGAATATCCTTGAATCATCATTTGTCATCGAAAGTCTTACAATCAAATAATACTTTTTAAAGTAAAATTTTCAATAAAACTTATACCGAAATTATGTCGTAATCCGTGGATATACACCAGGCTAGTTCCCAGGAAAGAGAGGTGGGTCATAAAGACACCCTTAAATACCAAATCTTTCCTTAGACAGAACCTTTCTAGACATGTATTCCCACTTCATTTATGTCGTAATCCGTGGATATACACCAGGCTAGTTCCCAGGAAAGAGAGGTGGGTCATAAAGACACCCTTAAATACCAAGTCTTTCCTTAGACAGAACCTTTCTAGACATGTATTCCCACTTCATTTATGTCGTAATCCGTGGATATACATCAGGCTAGTTCCCAGGAAAGAGAGGTGGGTCATAAAGACACCCTTAAATACCAAGTCTTTCCTTAGACAGAACCTTTCTATACATGTATTCCCACTTCATTTATGTCGAAATATGTGGGTATACATCAGGCTAGTTCCCAGGAAAGAGAGGTGGGTCATAAAGACACCCTTAAATACCAAGTCTTTCCTTAGACAGAACTTTTCTAGACATGTATTCCCACTTCATTGTATTTTTCCGATAATTCACAAATCTTATTTTTTGTAAGTAAAACATTTTTACTAAAACTAACCTTTTTACTTTTTTAAGTAAATCTTACCATTTTAAAGTAAGTTCACTTAACTAAGATTCAACATTTTTAAATCATTTTACCATCTAAGACTTCATAACACTTTAAGTTTATAAAGTCAAGACTTTTAGGTAACTCTCATTATTTCAAGTATACTACTAAAACAAATTTTCATGAACATCTTAACACCTCCTAATTTTTTAGGAAAAAACCTCAAGGGTTAGTAAGTGTTATTTTCATAGTCATGAAAAAGAATGGCTCTTAATTTAATATTTTACATTTAAACATCTTTTAGTTATTCTTACCACTTTAAAGTAAGTCAACTAAAATAAATACAACAATTTCTATGAACATCTTAACACCTCCTAATATTTTAGGAAAAACCTCAAGGGTTAGTAAGTGTTATTTTCATGGTCATGAAAATAAATCATAATGTAAGACTTTCTACTACTTTAATATCTAAAACTTCATAACACTTTAAGTTTATGAAGTCAAGACTTTAATAAATCATCTTTTATCCCAAATCATTATTTTAACTTGGGAATCAAAGAGTAAAATATGTAAACCACTTTTAAAACATAATACTATCTAAAAAATGAAATATTTTCAACAACTCATCAACATCATAAACTTTCAAGAATAAAATACAAACTTTTTCCTAAACACATTAAAGGTTCATTTGATGTTAAAATCATCACCTTTAAACATATTCAAATACTAACAATAATTTCTAATATTTCCAAATAAATAACTCATCTAACCTTGTCCAAAGATATAGTTTTTCCATCTAAGAACAAGGAAGAAATTTCAAGATTTACAAAAGTCAAAAACTACATAAAGGTTCATATGATTTTATTATCATCCCCTTTAGTTATGCTTTCATAAAATACTTAAAGAACAAATATAAACTCTACTTTATGAACAAAATAATAAAAGCTCATAACTTTCTATGAAGTATGAGAAGAAGATGAAGAAGATAAAATAAAAGACTACCTTAGTTTGTATAAGGAATTTAGTGTAAAAATGAGAGGATGGGGTGAGGTATTTATAGGAGAGCCTCACCCTCATCAAATCAGAAAATTTAATGCAAAGTAAGTAGCTTTAGACTAGCATAGGTGATGTGTCTAATGGTGGTGGAGTGAGAGGATTTGTTGAGTGTTTTAGGGGGTTTTGTAAGCTTTTGCATTACTTGTGTAACAAGTAAGTGACTCATGCAATGATGACTTCCAACTTTATTGATATGATGTAATTTCCCAATAAATGTCGTGTCCGAACATCTTCGGATAATTTCGTCCGAAAATATACAATCTCCCGATTTTGGTTTACCGTTAGAACTTCGAAACACAAAATTTGGAGTGAAAATATTTATAAATGGGTTCTGAATGAACTTGATGTCTATCTTGACTCGAAATAATATTTCGAAGCCAATGGTGCAATCGGAATTCGATTCCGAGTTACGGAACTCAAAAACACGTTATTGGGCCGAATTCGGGCTATTTGGGCCCGACGACAATTCAAAACTATTTCGTCACAGAAAATTACAAAAATTTACCATAAAATAGGAAATCACAAAACAAGACTAATATTCAACTATGGCTTAGCCTAAATCCACACTGATTAATTTCTACAATTAATCGTTGATAAAATAAATAATTAATAAAAACTCATAAAAATTTATAATTCCAAATCAGAAAATTCGTGGTGTTACAAGAAGCAATATATCAAATCATGAAGCCTCAATTAATACCATATGCACAAGACAAATGATCCAGGAAGCTGGCCAACTGACCCAACATACCAGGCAGGTGACTAAGCCAACAAGCAGGCTGACCTGCGCAGGTAAGACAGGCACAGGCGCACCAGAAGCAGGTCAGGATGCACTAGAAGCAGGCTAGAACGCACCAGAATCAGGTACTGATGCACCGGACCTTGGCACACCAGATTTCAGTGCATATGCATGTGTAAATGCATCAGAAATAGTTGAGCAGAAGGCAACCACTTCAAATGCTAACAGATTCAGTTACTTGTTTCACAAGTTACACTCATTTTTAGATATTTTAGGCATTTCAACATGTGCTCTTTTCTTGCACAAGTTAGTTAAAGATTAGTTAAAACTTTTCTTGTTGTGTACTTGGATCCTATATATATGAGGGGTCTAGTTCACTTTTCTTTACTACTTTTGTAATACATTTTGATTCAATAATAAAGAGATGTATTATTTTCTAATTCTTCTTCTTGGATTGTCAATCCTTTAGTTCTTAGATAAAGCCTCTTTATTTCTTTTACAATTGTTAATGAACCCAAAAATATAAACCATATTGAAAAATAATGTAATTAATAGAATAAAATTAATATTTGAAGTTTCCTAACATTGACTTTGCACTTATATATGTTTCTTTAACAATTGTCCTTGTAGCAAATAGTGTTACAATTGATAATGGTGTGTGGGCACTATGGGCACATCCATGTGCATATATTCCTAACATGCATGAATCATTCCATTGCCATGTCTAGTAAATGATTGTAATGGTTTTGTTTTAATGTTTTGATAGAAGGATTTAACATTTAATGTTGATGGCTATGTATTTTGAATAAAGATTCCAAAAAATTTATGTCTCTATGTCCCAAGTCAATCATACTGCACCAAGTAATGTAAAAAATGTTATTTCCTATTTTTGTTAATTTTTTTTGATTACATGACAATTTTTAACTGGATTGATACACATTGAGATAAAAAAAATGGGACAGTTAATCTTCATTCATACATTTTGTCCTAAAAGTGTGCAATATGTATGTCTTCTTCTCCTTTTTTTTTGTTGGAAAAAATGCATATATCTTCTAATTTTTTTGTCACAAGTCATATATATATATATATATATATATACATTGATTCACTACAACATTTTTTATTTACAACCACCCTAGTAACCGTTGCCGAATTTAGAAAAAATCATTCATTATATCATAAGCAACAATTTTGTAATTGTGATAGTATGAGATACTATTTTTTTATTTAGATCATAGTTTTTTTGTTTTGTTTTATGTAACACTTTTATAAAACCGTTGTTAATTTAATAATTAATATGAGCAACATGTTGAAATATAATTATTACTAGTTGAATTAATCAAGTTTTTGGTTTTCAGTAACACTTTTAATAACCGTTGTTTTATAAGTAACGCTTTTATAAAACCGTTATTTAATTAATCAAGTTCACAAATTAGGGGGAAATATAATTATTACTAGTTGAATTTTTAAAGAATGCGTTTATGAAGGTTTGAAATCAAACAATTCCTATGTCCCACTACCACATTATGCTTTTACAAGTACAGGAAAGTTCCACATACTATAATTTTTTTTAGTATAACCTTTAATTGTTAAGGCTTTAGTTTAATAATTAAGGTATAATCATATCTTTTGTAGGAACCAACCCTTTGACATGTGAAAGATCTCCTACTTTTGAGGCTAGTGGCTGTCCTAGCCTGTACATTAAAATTATTCTCTCCTTTCTTAATTTTTATATGTTTTTTATAACGTGTAATATTTATGCAATGTCAATTTAAAGATTTATATAAATTCAATGTATTATTTACCATTTATTTGTATTTTTTGAAGAATCATGATAATTAAACATGAATAATGAATAATATAATAACAATATAAAACTTATATATTTACGATAAACTTATTTTTTTGGGATGATTATATTGATATGCGTAATTTGGAGTAAATGAACAATAAGTTTATATTCTTTTAACTAGAGAATATTATTTGTGTAAGTAATAGCTGAATTTTAGTTTAATTAAATGTTTTGACTTTCACTTTTATTCAACTAGCATGTTGACAAGTACCTTCCGTGTCTGTCAACCTGTTTTTCTATCGTTTGTAATGTGTAGTCTACATGCAATAAATGTCTAATGTAATAAATTGTGTTAAATATTGTAATTTGTAGTTGAATAAATTCGATTGAGGTAATTGTTCAATTTTAATGAATGGATGGTTTGAGACTGATTTTGTTTACTTTATGCAACTCTACAAAATTGGTTGGTTTGCTCAGATTTTATGATAGATGAAATGTAAATACTATGGAAAAATTAGATAAAATATGATAAATTTCAGTCATTAGGTTGTGAGAGTAAATAAGTATATTTTGGTTATTGAGGTATAGTTATTAGCAAGGGCAATATGAGAAATTAAAAATTACATCATCTTGGTAGTTATAACATATTTCCCCTTTATATTAGTATAGATAGATTCATCTACACTAAATATTTAGTATAGAGATTTTTCACTCAATAGTTTTACTAATTGTTAAGTGTAAATAATACTCGGAGTAAAGATATATTTTGGTCTTTCAAAATTTGTGTCTATCAATTTGGTCCCTAGAAAAATGAAAAACATAGAATGGTCCCAAAAATATCAAATTAGTATTTTTATCACTCTTATCAAGATTATTTTAGCTTACATTTAAGCTCTTTGAATAAAAAATTGAATTTTTTCAATTATCAAATTGACACATACAAAAATTTAGAAGGAACAAAGGGAATATTCACTCTAGTTAAAAAAAAACAGAATATTAAGAGGAATACAAATTATGAAAATTATTGTTAGGGAATGTGAAACAATACTGTAATGTAGTGAAAAATGAAATATTATATTGAAGAAATGAAGTATGAATGCACTTAATTACTTAATCAACCTTAAACATTCATCAAAAAAGTTCTTATCGTTATCATTAAAAGTAGAGGTGAACATGAATCAGATTGAGAGGAGTTAATGTTTATCTCTTATTCAATCCTAAATGTTGGTCGGGTCAAATTCTTGAATTTGGACCTGATCCTAAACCCGAAACTAACAAAGACACATACAAACATGATGAGTGAGTGATGATGAGATGCGTTGGTCTGGGTCATGCTTGGCCTGTACCCAACTCTAAATATTGTACAAGTCTAATTTTTAAACCTAAACTCAATTGTAGACCCTATAAGACCTGATTCTATATGAATCTGATCATAATTAGATCATATCTGGTGAATAGGTAGGGTCAGGTACTATCAAAAGTATCTCCACGCTATATGATATTCAAAGATTAGATGCATTTGTAAGTAAAGAATCATTGATATCATGTGCCATAAGTAGCCTTCTTCAATATGAAAAAAGAAAGAAGCTTTTTCTGGTTTTGTGGGTCCTACCATCCACCAAAGAATCCCTAAACAAGAAAACCCATAAAAATAATAATGAAGAATGTCATGAGTCAACTAATCAAGAGTAATTGAGAAGTAAAAATAATTTATAGTTATTCCTTTTAATAGATAAAATGTTTATAATATTTTTGTAGTCTTTCGCATATAAATATCTATAGAGAATAAAATATATCTATATATTAGAAGATAAATTATTTATTTTAGTTATTAAAATTATGACATATGTCATATTTATTTTAGTTTTTATAAAAAATGGTTAAATAAAATACATGTGGTCATTTTAATGGTTAGATAAAATAATGTATCTATAAAAAGATATTTTATTAATAATAGTTTTGAGCTAACTAGAAACAATTAATGCAACCATGCCAATGTCTTAAAATTTATTGTTGCATAAATACATGTAGTTTCCACATGTGTAGGGTCTTTACCCTTTTTAAGGACATCCATCATTATTATTCTTAAATTTCCACACACAGAAAATAGGAAAAAGCATTAGAAAGTGATCTTTACCATTTTGATATTTGAGTTACTTAAGCTTCATATTTTTATTTTAAAGGTTAAATTAAACTTCATGAAAGATTTAAACCATCTCAAATGAAAATGAATTTAGGAAAATGTTATATTTTCCTATTAATCTTTATGCCCACAAAAAAGTGACATATATTACTTATAAACAAAGCATTAATAAATAAAGTATCACTTTGTGACAAATGTCATATTTTTGTGGGCATAAGAATTAGTATGAGAATTTAGTACGAGAATATAACATTACTCATGAATTTAAGAATAATAAGACGGTCTATATTATTAAGTCAACCACATTTATAAATAAAAATAAATATAATTTCTTCCCCTTGCAATAATGAGTGGAATATGAGATTGAGATACGTGAGGAATATAATTTAACACAAATATCATGTAATGAATAGTGTTTTAAATTGAAGTTGTGAATGCATGTCATTATAATGGATATGATTGTTGCGATAATTGTGATGTGGATTGTGGTTGTTGTATTATGAATTATTTTATGATTAAAAAATATTTTTTAACTCGATGCGGTCTGATATAATTGCATTCTCCTCATTTTGATTCAGTGTCGCACTACAATTTTGGTGTGATGCAATTATAGGGATCACTTCAATCGCTATTATGCCCTGTCAAGTGATATGTTTTGCAATTTGCATCATGGTATACAGTGTACGAATGAGATAATTTTATTTTTGGTGCAACCAAATGTATCCTTTAGTAACTAATATTTCTTATAGGAATGAGACTCTTCTCCATGAATTGGATTCCTATCCAGTATTGGGTATGTGAGAGGAGAAATTTTTTATAAAAATAATAATTTAAAAAATGTTAAAATCTAGACCATTAAAATTTTATTTATGACACATGTTTTAATCTTAGATATGCATTCACCTCTCCTGTAACGGAAACTCATTCTCTATTAGTAGAAATAGATGATATAAAAAAAAACAAAGAAAAATGCATATGAAATGACATTTATATACTTGTATTTGTAATGATAATACAATATTATCCTTAAAATTAACGGTGAAGAGTGATGATGTAACAGTGATTGCTACAGTTTATATTTGATGTTGGTTTGTTCACACTTCACACATAAAGAAAAAAAGAAAACAGAAAAAAACA